AAATATAATTAGTACGCATGTTAACTTTCCTGTGTATGTGAGAGGATTTTTGATGCGCATCAGAAATGATTCTAATTTCCCATTGTTCACCTCTTTAGTTGCTCTATATCCGACCTAAAAGAATGAAATTAAGGTACCCAAGGTGGTAATGTGTAATGGTGATGGTCCAATATGTTTAGTTATGATAGATTCTAAGAAGACATTAGAAGAAGATGGCAGATGGTGGAAGATTTTGTGCAGTTCCATTCGTAAGTTGAGACTACGCTGCGACTGAGTGACCATGGAGAAGACAATTCCTCCAACTGAGACGCACGATGGAGATGGCTAGGGCACGAAGCAGAGATGAATATATGAGGTCATGGTCGGCTGGTAAACATTTAAGAGTTTTCATCCAGAAGAGAGATATAGAAGGATATTTTCCATTTTTGTGTGCATAAGAAAGTGATGCCCTAACAAAGGAAAGGATATTTACCAAGATATAGAGAAGATGTAGAGGGGGAGTAGACGGTAGATTGATTGGAAGAAGAAGAAGACGGTGAAGTGAATATGTGAAGATGATAGCTTTGTTTAAGTCAGTGAAGAAATAAAGGAACCGGGATTGGTGATGACCCTGGTGGCAAAGAAAACCTACGGCAATCAAAGTTTGTGAGTAGAGATGAGTCGACAATAGAAGAAGAAACAAAAAAAAACACGTATACGGTGGGTGTGCTCATGAAAGCATGTGGAAAGCACTATCTCTAAAGAATAGAATGTCACTGTGGGAAATAACCATGAACAATAAGAAAAAAAACTAAAAAACCCATCAATCACAACATAGAACTGTTCATAAGGGGCTTCTCTTTTTACTAATGAGTAAAACATAAAAGCAACAATACTCTTTAATTTTGACTTCACAACCTATGTAATGGTTATTAGTTTCTTTTTAATGTCTTATTTATGGTTATTAGAATACTGTGATATTTTACATGTAGAGCTAAATGAAAACTGTAATTGTCAAGTTATTTATATCTTCAAGCATAGTACAACTAAGTTTGTATATTTGATTTATTAATGTTAAAAATGAATGCTAACAATTAGGAATGGATTCATCAAGTCCTATAAATTTAATTCATGAATTACTAGAAAAATTTTAATGTATAAAAAAAATATGAATATGCAAAAAACCTTGAGTTCCAAAACATAATAAATTCTCTCAGGGCCAGTCTAGAGGATTAAAATGCCCAAGCCGAATCGGAAAAAAGTACTTAGGCCTTAACATGTAACGAATTAAATTACATAAACTATTTTTATAAACGACGATAAACTTTATAGCAATAAACATAACAAAATCGTAGTTTTTTTAATGAGTAATTACATATCGTAATAGTTAAACGATGACCCATGAAGCTCTCCTAGCATTCTTGATAGCAAATTGGTTGATCAACTCTCCGTACTCTATATTATCTAAGATTTCGTTCTAGATAGATATCATCTCCTAACCGCTAAGTCTTTTTTCGTTCATTGTGGAGTGTAAGTAAGATTTCAAAAACTTTAATTTCGAAAAACTCCTTTCTACAGATGCCACCGTTACTGGAAAAGTCAACAATATTCTATATGTAATGCATGTTGTTTCAAAAACTTCAAAACACCTATTAGGTTGCTAAATTCATTAGTTTCCAATGTCTCAAATAATTTTGACACCATATAAAGTTCATCAGCATCAGTATCTGATCTTTTTTCAAACTTGAGTGTTTTTTCATGACGATGACAAGATGACTTAAGATCTTTATCTTTAATTCCCCTCAAATTATGTGGAAATAAAAAAATAAATACTTTTTCATACTCTTCGAATTGTTCAAATCTTGTCTCAAGAGAAGAAATAACTTGATGAACAATGTATAAGAAATAAATGACTCTGAAATTCTCTTCAGTTGTAAATGAAACTTCTTCACTAATTGAACACTCACCAAACCTTTTTTCCTTCGAATCAAATACTTTTTTAGAAATACTAGATCAATGCTCAATTCAAAAGCAATTTTCTTAGCTTCATCAAGTGCTTTTCAAAAATCAGTTTCTTTATAATCCTTGAAATACCTAATTAATCTGTTTATTTATGTAATAAAATTATCAAGATGCATATCCTTTATCCTTTGCTTGTAATGTTTTACTCACAATGTCACCCCCCAAACCAGAACGGCGGAATCGTTCGAGGGTGGATGATTTCACGTAGTATCGTAACAATTGAATACATAGTAAAGAAAACAATACAACCATCACATATATAATTTAAAAGTTTACATTGTTGAAAGGTACATGTTTCAAAAGAAATATGATGATTTAAAATGAAATTAAACTAACGCTGCAACGTCCCTTCTTCAAAAGCTACAATTTACATGTATTACTGAATCCCTGAGAAATACAAGTGGTTTTGAAAGAGTACGTTAGCATTTAAGCTGGTGAGTTCATAAGTATTTAGTGACAATGTTTATATGAAAAAGAATAAAAATGGGTTGTTTATGTTAAATGTTCCAAGAAAATCCCATATTTTCTACATAGTAGATGGTAGTTTGATTTGTTCCAAAACTGTAATGCAATAGTGGTTTTGATGCCTAAAATAGTAGTTTTATGTGCAAATCGTTAAGGCATTTGAAAAAACCCCATAAATCAATGTGTTTTTAATACTCCGTGTGAGTCTTATAACCATGCTATTTGACCAGGATGCTTATATCAACGTTCTTCAGGCGTTGGAAAGTTATGATGTTTGTCACCCCATGCCTGCCGACCTAGCTGTAGCTAACAGCTTAGGTGTGGGATTGTCAATCCCGTATAGATCTATACACAAGTATCACGATCCCCCTACAAGGGATTATGGTATATAATACAGGACTTAAAATGCATACTTGGAAGTACGTGAAATGTCTCACAAAATATAGTATAAAATAGATTTACGTATGAAAATATCCATTTATTCTTGTATATGAAAATATCTTCTTTGATGTAGTGTACCTAGTATGTAAATGTCCATGATTTCCTCGTAAACTATACCTATTATAGTTTTTCAAAGTGTGTTTCGTTCATATAGTAAACCCTAGTGTAATGCTCACTCCTTATGTAAAGTATAACACGTAAAGTGACTTAATTGTTCACATATACCTAATGTAAAATGGAGCATTTGATTTGTATGTATGTATGTGTGTGTGTGTGTGTGTGTGTGTATATATATATATATATATATATATATATATATATATAAACACGTTTTATTTCCACAAGACAAGGTGTTATTGAAAATATATATTTCATAGGAGAATACTCATGTAGTAGTTTATGAATCACATATGATTACTTAGTTAAAAAAGTTTATATAGTGAATCGTTAAGTTACAGATGATAATAACCGAGTGTTTTACTGCCATTCCCCCTCCCCCCCCCCCACCCCACCCCCTTAATATTGTATAAAAAGCATTTATAAAACATTTAGGAGCGTATTTTATAGGGGTATGAACTCACTTGAAAGATCGAAGAAGGCGAGATAAAAATCGAGCAGGACTTTGACTCGAGAAAGCGGATTTTTTCGGGATTCTTGGGAATCTCGGGAGCACAAACGACCTTGGGAGCTGAGTATGGAAACCGGGGCTTCGGGATATTACGTGCACGGAAAATGAGGCAAAAATGCAAGAAAGATGAGAGAAAATGAGTAATTTCCCGGAAACCTCCCATCTCTTTTATAAGGGCTGGGAATTGCCTCGGTACGCTGGGCGTACGCGTGCGTCATGCGTGACCGCATCCTCGACTGTCTCGGAGCTCGGATGGGACGGGGCATAGCCTCGCATAGGGGGCGACGTGGACGATCCGAGGCCTAGTCCTCGCATACGCTGGGCATACGCTATTACGTCGGGCGTAACTTGGATTGGGCCGGTGACTCCCCCTTCGGATAATACCGAATTTTGATTTAATTTTATATTTTTATTATTTAGTAAACTTCAAAAATTCATATTTTCTTCATACGAACTCCGATTTCGACGTTCTTTATATCCACGCGTAGGTGAGACCACGCTCTACAACTTTCATTTAGACTCCGTCAGCAAATTATTAAATTATTTTTATTATTTATTTTTAAATGGTCGGGGTAAGAAAAGTTCGTTAGAAATGCATAACCCCTTTATCCGATGTCTGTTTTTGCCAGACTTTTTACCGTTGAAATACCATTGTTGAGACCTTCGACTCTCATTTAGGTCATTCCGATCAAAAGTCGCTGGATCTCTGTTTTGAGTTTTTAGCTGTCTACCGCTATACTGAACTTGGAAAAATCATAACTTCCTCACACGAAGTCAGATTTGGACGTTCTTTTTATGTACGCTCACGGTTTAATGATATCTAACATAGTAGGTAACCAAAAATAGAGACTTTTTGCACATTTTATTTTCAAAAATAATTTTATTATTTTCAAAAGTGGTTACAATACTTGGCTTTTTAAGTCATTACATAGAATCGATATATCGGGTTGTCACATCATCCCCCTGTTAGATGGAATTTCGTCCCGAAATTTAACGTAAGAAAAAACTTGTGGATTAGGGAAAAAGATGTAGGTACTTGTGTTTCATCTGATCTTCGCGTTCCCACGGTATTCAGGTCCTCGCTTTGCATTCCAGCGGGCCTTCACGATGGGTATGCGACTTTGTTTTGTTCTATTAATTTCCCTATCCATGATTTCAATTGGTTCTTCTATAAAGTGGAGACTCTCGTTGATTTCGATTTCGTCTAGAGGGACGACAAGGGTCTCATCGGACAAACATTTCTTCAAGTTTGGCACATGGAAGGTAGGGTGTACGTTATTGAGTTCCTGCGGTAGATGAAGTTTGTAGGCTACCGCCCCGATCCTTGAAAGGATCTTGAATGGTCCGATATACCTCGGGTTTAGTTTACCACGTCTTCCAAAACGTATTAACCCCTTCTAGGGTGAGACCTTTAATAGCACTCGGTCCCCTACTTGAAAT